ACTAATGGATTAAGAACCAGCTCATGAAATATATTTAGCAATCACTTCTTGTGAGTTGAGGAGATCTGGCTTTTGCCCACCACTGAGACTGTAACTACTTCTAAGAGGGAAGGAAGACAGGCTTTGAGTATATGGTCGAGGATCAATAATTCAAGGTCATATAGTGATATTGTGGTAAGGACACTTGGAAAGGATTATAATAAAAAGCAAATAAAAATGACACAAGAAGAGAGGTCTCGTTTAGATGTCCAACAGAATCCTATTAGAGACACAGTTCTTGGAACCTGGTGAAGAGGCTGTATGAATGAGAAAACTCCACAAGGGTGACTGAGGTCAAGATTCAGGTTAATGGTATTATCCTGTAGGCAGCTGGAACAGGAGGCATCTTAGGACAATGTGAGCCATTAATCAGAAACTAGACAAAATCAAGAAGTAGATCAATCAAGATGCCAGAGCCAGATGAAGTAGAGAAATGAAGTGTCTTGGGCTGAGGAAAAAGTAAGCCAGAGATAAGACAATCCATGGGTGAAGCTGATAGATAGCACTTTAGGACAAATATCAGGAGTCTAGGTAGATTGCCTTGCCACGTTTTAGCAAAGTTGGGAGCAAAAATCTTAATGGGGCAGATTCATCTAAATAAGACCTTGAAATTTATAGGTGAAATTCCTATAAAACAAAATTCAAATTATCCCACCTAAACGAATAACTTCCTAACCAACAGTAATTGGGCACGTCTTCCTGATGTACACTGAACATCCTCAGTTCTTACATTCTTACTTTAGTCAGCTGTTTGTCACTGTGAACAAAAGACCTAACAAGAAGAGGAGGAGAAAATTTTATCTGGAACTCTAAATTTTAGAGGTTTCAGTCCATAGACAGCTGACTCCACTGCTTTGGAACTAAGATGAAGTAGAACATCATGGCAGAAGAGCAGCTCAGGATATGACCACAAGGAAGCAGAGAGAGTGCTATCGAATAAGGACAAAATATCAGCCTGCAAGGTACTCCCGGTCATCTACCTCTCAAGACATACCTGATCTGCCAAGAGTTATCACCCAGTTGATCAGTTTAAGTGAACCCAATCATTACACCTCTAAACTTTCGTGCATTGTCTCATATCTAAACCCTAACAGTTTTTGACTTGGAAACCATTTTCCAATGTAAGATTTGCTTGGTAGCTTGATATTTGAAGTTACTTTTTTAAAAATATCCTTGATATTCCTGAAATATCACTAACTTATTCATTGTTAGGGATCTTCAATTCAGACATTGTCCTTATACTTAGCATGGCAGACACTTGGAATGTCCAAGAGCTTGTTTTCTTTCATCCAAGAGTCACTCAGAGAGCAAGAATGATTAGTTTTCTATACTTCCTAGGGCTCTTGGGATGATGAAGTGATCTCTCTTATCCCAAGCAGAAAAACGAAGGGTCAATGATTCATGCCATTTTGAGAGAATACATTGGAGACACAGAAAGTTGTTGGAGGACAATCAGTTTGCTTTTTCCTAAGAAATACTATAACTATACACAAAATTAACACAGTCTGTTAGGATGAAGATATTTCAAGAAACAATTTGCTTCTCTGTTATAAAGAGAAGAACTTTATATTATGAATGATAAGAAATAGGAAATAGAACTGATTTGTATACACAGCAACAAATGCCAAGTGAGTAAACTTATTATAAATGTATATTCATTTTCTTATTTGATTTTGTCCAAATGATTCCTCACCCTGACACTCATATTGCAATATAATCAAGCATAAGGATTTAGAGAAAAACAGTACTGTCTTATATTGGTTTTGTATGTGAGCTGCGTCCACAAACCAAATTTCTGTAGGAAAGGAATAAAGAGATTTGATATCACAGAATAAAGCATAATATGCTATTAATAACTACTAGCCTTTAAAATTTCAAACCAAAAGTCAATTTAAGATAATAAAAAAGACCTTAAGATTTTAAGGTAGATTATTTTACTCTGTATATTTCAGGAGCAACATTAGTTTCCACAGCTTTCTTGTTTAATTTGGACCAAACTAATTTAAATCATATAATGATTATAACAAGGGATAGAGTATAGTACAATTTTTAGCTTATAATAATTTAGGAGTAATCAGAAATATCATATTACAAAGTGCTTATGTTGGTGTGATAATTGATAATTAAAAATATAATATGAAAAGGTAAAAATCTGAATTCACAAAAAGAAGTATGAAATTATACCTATCATAAAGAGCAAGATAATTGGAACCTAACCTTCCTGGAAACCAGAGGAAAAAGACAATATTATTGGTTGTTTGATTATAATCAGAACTGAAACTTGAAACTCATTTTTTAGGAAATAGAATATTATTTTCTCCTTGAATTCTAAATTAGTTTATATAGGGGACAGTGAGTAATATGTCACATTCAAAGTTCCTCAGTGATTTTATGGTAAATGTTGTAAGGGCTTTTGATGGAATTCCACAAGAGATGAATCAAATTTAGTTCATACTAGTGACCTTTTATTTGATCAATGGATTCAGTCCTCTATAGAAGTCAAATTCCAAAGTAATTGTCAAAATTTTGTTGGAAAATAATCTATTAATTCCTTCATTCACTGCAAGTTCTCCTACTTAGAGTATTTATCAGTGATTTTGGTATGTAACAACCTATGTATATAAAAAGATCATTTTTTAGGACTCGTGAAGTCTGCTTTTCCAGAAAAGTTACAAGACTTTTTCAAGGCCACTGCAATAGCCATGTAAACATATCAGTGAATTTTATGCATGTTAAAGGATAGAATACTTGATCATATTTTAAAATAAAAGTATTAGAATAAATTTTGGAAAGAGACATATCTCTTTACAAATATTACATTTTTTCCAGAAATACGTTGCAGAGGTAAATTTTGTGTTAAGAATAGCATAATTGTCACTTAAATTAATTTATTCAAGGACAGAAGAAAATTCCAGGTAATGAGACAGAATGAGTTGTTATTCAAATAGTATTCGCATTTGTTTAAAATAGAGGACTTTGTTAAAAAAAATTGCTAAAGGAAAAACAACTATAGATAATGACTATGATGTTCTTTATGAGTATTAAATGTTACATTGTAAATCGGTTGCTCAGTTGCAGATAACTGTGAAACACAAGGATGGAATTCCCATCTGTAAAATAGGAAAAAAATTGTAAGTTTTATAATATTTGAAACTTTCTTAGAGACCAATAACCGGAATCTTTGAAAGAAAAGAGATGGACTTCCATCATCTTGGAAACATTTTTTTCTAAAAATATATTTGAGTATGTGTTTAGTAGAGGTGATAATAAATATAGCCCAAACGTGGAGCATTAGACAACAGTGAATTTTTATACCAGATTGAAGAGTTTAAATTCCAGTCATTTATAAATGAAGGTGGTCACCACCAAGTACCAAGAATACATGTAAATAAGGTAGCAACAGGACACTAAATGAGTTCTTTAGGCAGGTGTTAGTTCTGTGAGCAGATATTATATCATCAGTTGATTATTATCTTATACTTCCTCCTTTTATGATACAATCTGGCTGATAAATAGTGTTATACATCAAAAAGTAAAAGAGCAAGGTTAAAAAATGTATTTGAAACAGAAACCCAGAGTTCCAAACTCCAGATTCCAATTTCTTCACTGTAAAAGAAATGTGTCTGGTAAACTGAACCAATCTTTAATAGGATTCCATTTGTGTTTGAGATCAGAATAGCATAGTTGTGGGTAGATTTAAACCATGCTGCCAACAACCATTCAAGAGTGCTTAGGCTGAAATTGTGTCTCCACAGTGGCTACTGGCACAGTTAGGGCTCTTATATTAGCAAATACCACCGTATATGAGACTGTTAAACATCTTATGATGAGAATGCTATTTATCTGAAGGACCCAGTTTAGGGGTTCCAGGCTCCCAGGGAGAGGAGGGTGAGGAGCAGGAGGGTGACAAGGTGTTCACTGTCACTGTCAGTCCCTTAATGGGTGCTACTGGCACACAGCTTTATGTGTGAGCTGGGATTTCTGGCAAACAGACATGTTTGAAGGGTTCTTGCTTAAGGTGCTCGACAGACTCAAAACTTCAGGCTAAATTCTGTGAAAATTCAAAGAACAAGAAGAAAAAAGAAATTGGCATTCATCAGTTGTGTATTTTGTTCTGAGAATTTGACTTCCAATTGTATAGTGAAACTTTCAACCATTAACTACTTTTGAGAGATATATAAATTAGCACATTTTCAAAGTTGGGCAACATAGTGAAGTGTTTATGAACTTGTGAACATTTTTTTGTAATTCGATTAAATGATAGAAAGTGTCATTTGTATTCAAAATTGAGTTTATGTCTTTAAAATTAGATCACTGACTTTTGTGTTTTGTTAACTTGTTTTAATTTTTTGGTACGAGGGATTGAACTCAGGGATTCTTAACCACTGAGCAATATCCCCACCCCTTTTTTAATATTTTATTTAAAGACAAGGTCTCTATAAGTTGCTTTAGGGCCTCACAAAGTCACTCAGGCTGGATTTGAACTTGGAATCCTCCTGCCTCAGCCTCCTGAACCACTGGGATTACAGGCGTGTGCCACTGTGCCTGGCATGTTTTGTTAATTTTATATTCCATAGCCAGATCATTATCAACTTCAGAGAAGTAAGAGATGTGATAAAGAGGATGAATGACAATGTTTTAATTAGCAATGGACCTCTTATGACTTTTTCTTCTGACTTTAGACTTTTATTGTTTTGGCAAATGCCACAGGAACTATATATCATTTGGTTTGTTTGTCCCACAGGTTCTGGTACTTTTTTGGATCTCCTGCTTCCAAAGCTAATTCATTTGTACTCCCTACCAGATAGACATGAATATATACACCCATGGGACAAAATGGGGACATGAGCAGAATGGGAGTTGGGAGTTGTGTTTGAGTTACATCAAATTATCTAATTCTGAAAAATATCCCCATACTTATTTTCTTAGAATTGTAACAACAGTTATTTGTTTTGTCCCAGGTCACTTGGACCAAGTCTCTGTGGGTTGCTCCTCTCACATCCTTGAGGCATCAGCTGGAATTTCTCGAGTGTTGCCAGAGGATCCATTGGTTTTGTATGTGACGTCTTACTCAGAAGGCTGGCAAGTTGTCACTGGCTGGGAGGTGAGCCAGGGCATTGGATAGGAGGTGCATGTCTTGCCCACATGAGATACTTCAGGGTGCTTTCTTTACTCCCACAACACATGACTTCAAAAAGTTAGCATTTTAAGAGACAGGATGTGGAATGCTGATAGTCAGATATTGACCTGGATGTTATAGGCCAACTTTTACCATATTCTTATTAATCAAGCAGTCAGAGCCCACCGTACACCAAGGCAAGGAATTAACATCACTACCAAATAGGAAAAGTATAAAATTATTTGTGACCTTTCTAATCTACCTGATATGTGTTGCCTCTGTTGGAATCACAGAACATAAATGTACATCTGCCCATATATGAAGTATAGTAGGTGATCACCTGCACCGTTTTTTTCTTTTTCTGCATTCAAATTAATTTTCTCAACAACCTGGAAGGGTACCTAAAGTTTAGTTCTGAATGTTAGAGTTAACATTTATCTTAGTCTGATTCATTTTTAACAACATAAGGAATTTAAAAAGGAAATTTGAAAAATAAATGCACAGTGAGTAGATGGCAAAATCCAGGAAGAACCCAGATTTCTAAAAAAAGTTCCTTCTATCTTCTTTGGATTAGTCATTATTCAGAAAGTTCTTATTAGCATATATACAAGAAACTTAGGAAGTCTCAATATCATCACAAGGTAAATTCAGTACATTAGCCAGTTGTTTCCCAGTGAGGATCTGAGTGAACAGAGTACACACATTGAGAAGGTAAAAGTAATCTCAGAAACACTGAAGACACGTGAGTACTATGGACAGGAAGTAAGAACACTTACTGAATAGAATGAAGTAGAAATAGAAGGAAATATACAGAGATTGGGTGACTTAAATATAAAGAGGGAGAAGCAGAAGATAAATTTTGAGGGAAATTCTTGTTTTACCCTGAGCATAAAAAGAAAAGATTTAACAGGTCTTATTTTAGTTTAATTCAAGCACTAACCAGAATGAAAGTGTAATTATGATATTTTGATCTGTATATATATAATGCTGACAGCTCTTTTGCATATGAAATAAAAATAATATGCATTATGCCTGTTGAGGAATAATAAGGATGTCTTAAATATCACATAAGCTCATCTAAATGGCTTTTACACAGCATCTTCTTCTTATTCAATTCTACAGGAATTTAAAAACTGCTTTAAATTGATTAGGCCATCTTGGTTCCCTAACATAATAAAGCTTAGAAAATAGCTTTCACTGTGCTGCAGTATATTGTAATTTAAATTGAGTGATTCTCTAGCCACATCAGGTAAACGATGAGCCAAACCACAGCACGGCCTTAGGTGAACCCATTCCGGGAACAAGCAACTTAGGTGTTAACTTGTTTTAGCAGAGAAAGCATAGGAGATGCTATTTATTAACCTTGTTCTCTGCAGGTAGAGATTTTGTATGTTGCAGCACATCTGAGTGGTTGTTCTGAATTGATCAATTTGTTCAAATTGACCAGTCACCTCAGAGCTAGGAATGCACAGCCAAGTTTAATTATAATTTAGATGTAAATATCAGCTTTTTTTTTCCCTCCTCTTGGAAAAGTGGAGTTGGTTTGCCACTGTGTTATATTAAACTAGGGAGAGAGTGTACCAAAGCATTCAACTATTTTTCTGTGAATAGTACAAAAATAAACTACATGTAACACACTATTTATGATTGGGGTATAGCCACTACAACTAATAATACTTTTAAATGCCTGTTGATATGTGTTAGGACTATTAGCTAAAAGGAATAAATTTTGACCGTTATTTATTCTAAGAAATGTCTAAAAATGCTGGAAATCTAAGTTCAGAGTATTTGTGGTTAGTAATGAAACCTCAAAATCCTGCCACCGATCTGGTCCAGTATAATGATGCGGGGGCGGGGGGGTGGTATCCTTGGGAGCTGTACAACCTCCACAGTTTGCACTGGAGATATTCAAGCATGATGTCCTGAAACTAGAAAAACTATTAGGGATTGCGAAAATCAAATGAATTCTCTTAGGTCCCAGTTTTTGTGTGGACAGGTACAAATCATGAATGGAGTCAAGTTGTCTTGGTCTGTTTGAGCTGCCACAACAGAATGCTATAGACTGCATGGCGTGAACAACAGACATTTTATCTTTTCAGTTCTGTAGGCCACAAAGTCAAAGACCAAGGTCTGGCAAGGGTCCTTTTATGAAGAGGTCTGTTTCCTGGATTGAAAATGGTTGTCTTCTCCTGTGGGTTCATGGTGGTGGAAAGAAAAACAGCTCTGGTCTCTACCTCTTCTTATCAGGGCAATACTTTCATATTTTTTGACCTCCTCTAAGTCCAGTTACCTCCTAAAAACTGTCTGTCACTTCTAAGTTCCATCACATTTGGAGTTAGGGTTTCAACCTATGATTTCTGGAGGATCAAAACTTTCAATCTACAGCATAAGATCTCCTGATATCAAATAAAAAAAATTAGTTGGGATTATGAGAATGCAGTCCTCCTTGGCAACTCTAAAGGGAAGTGGCTGGGAGAATAAATATTGTGACTTCATTCTCATTCCTGTTTCTTCATTCTCCATTGATCTAATGGAGCTTTCCACTGGCCTGAAGCCCCAAAGCCAAGAAAATCCTCTTGTTTTTGTCAAAGTTCTTATGGCTTAAACATTTTGGCCATAGAGTATAAAGGAGGAAAGTGGGTCTGGAATAACAAACAAAAGAGACTCACTCCTACTTTGTTTACTACCTTATCATATAAGAAACTAAATAAAAAAGTGTATGTGTGTGTATTTGTATAAAAAGTATACCCATTTTATAAGTCTCTGTGATTTGAACTTTGTCCAGAGTCCCCACCACGCCTCTATCATACTTCACCCATCTGATCATGCTTCTTACTGAAACCCATAATTAACATAGATGATACCTTGAAAGTGGATGGAGAAAACTTGCTCCCTTCATGGTCAAAATGGCTCTAAATGTCCATCCTCTCTGAACAAATCTGTGGTGGTTGTGGCCTAAAATAGTAATGCACTGTAATCTCACACTAAGAAATTGTGACATTTCTCCATTAGAGTGAATTTGACTTGTCTTTCTGGGATCTCAGCACTGTCATGACAACAGAAGTTATAACCAAAGTTCAGTAAATGTTACAACACTTTTAAACTTTACATAGAATTTATTATTCTCAAAGGATAAATTTTACATACTCCAGTGGATTTTTTTAAATATAAATATTGAAAATGTCTTAAGTCCATAATGAGGCAGAAGAATACGATTCCAATTGATATGTATTAGAACATTACACAGTATGTATTGATTGCCTAAAAGAAAAAAAAAGAAACATTAATTGATTAGTTATTCATCAAAATGTTTATTAAACATAGATGCAGTTTAAATAGATTTTGAAAGCTCTTAATCGGACATAATTGACAAACTATTAAATCAAGGCATCAGTGGAAAACTCAGCATTATAAATAGAATATAATACTCTGTTTAACTCTCCAAAATCAAAACAATTGTGCCCCACATGGTTAATATTGCTTCCTAGCAAGGCAAGACCAGTAACTTTCTGATGTTTTAAAATAATAACATTTGTGTTGTTAAAAAACAGTATTCTCTCATCGTTGGATACACCCACATCTGTATAAAGACTGCACCTAACCCTGGCACAGGAGAGGGCTCTCTGTGAGCAAATCAAGGAGATGGTGGGGCTCAAGGGGATCCAAAAGGTGCTGCATTAGGAGTAAGAAAATGGGTTTAGTTCCCAGGCTTTCCACCAGCTTGGTGATCTTGGTCCAGTGCCTGAAATTCTTTATTGCTTGATTTTCTCAAATAGAAAATATTGTCATCAGATTAAGTAATTCCTGAGTAATAAAAGCAACAGCAGCCTGTGTCTACAGTGAATTGGGAGGCAACCATACTTGGATTAAAATGCATTCTTCACTTTCTACTCACTCATTTGATAATTTCATAATCCCTTGGACAGCATGTTCTCTCCTTCCAACATGTGTTACTCACTGAGAATAAAAAGTCTGCTAATAAAAAGAAAGGCAAGTATACTAAAATAAAAATAAGAAAACTGTATAAGAAAAGCATAGTCCAATTATAAAACAATCTAAGTTATTCTTTTAATAACTGATGTCAGGAAAGGATACATCTCATTATTTCTAGTATTGTCAAAGTCTAACACTGAGGCTGCTTTGAAAAGGGAAGATAATTGTATAACCAAGAATTGAGAAAAATTTATAAAACTGAGAAACATTTCAGAAAGATAATATAAACATTGTTTTTTGACTTTGGTCTTACTTCTGAATTAAATTTTTTTAAATAACAAAGACTTGATAACCAGAGCATAATAACATTTAGTATTCATAACATGAGCAAATTTTAATTGTTTCAAAGTGGGAAATGCAATGTAAAATAAAAAAAGGTGATGAGCAAAATAGAGGCACAATTTACACAGAGTGATCGAAATTCTGACTAGAGTCAAGGAAATATAAAGTAAGGATATCATTTTAATAATGTGAGGTTACAAAGGAAACAAAAGGCTAAAAATAATGCTACAACAAATATGGGAAGGGAGTGGAGGAGATTCCTAGAGGGAACTGAACAGATATTTTGGAATTGATAAAATGCAAACAATAAATTAATGACATTGTTACTAATTTAGAAATATAGGGAGAATAACCAGAAAAAAATAAAACATAACTTGCCTAGAGGAAGATTACTTCTTAAAAATAGAAGTACAGAGGGAGCAGGGAGAACTTTTACTTTTCCTTTTGTTTTTCAATCCATTTAGAATTTCAACTTTTTTTCACTCTGAATAGATGCTACAGTGTATACTTGTATATTTGCATTCTCTGTACCAACTCTATCTTGCTATCTAGCCATGTCTCTTTCAATATGTCCCTTTCTGAGTGGCAGATAGAATTCCATGTTGAAAATAAAGTTTGAAAAAAAATTTAGTAGGCAAATAAAGAAGTGATAAAGTTATTTCAATCTAATCTGCTGGAAGTCTGTAAGATCCTAACTATCACTAAGGTCTCTGGCTCAAACTAAAAGTTTATATAATGGTCAAGTTAAAGGAATGCTCTCTTGAGACC